CGGGTTGAGAGCTTCCAATGGATTGGTGGTCTTCACTTCAATTTTGCTCTCTATTGATGAGGATGTAGAGAAGCTCAAGAACACACCAACAATTGGGGACCATAACCGTATAAAATAATAATAGTAACTAAAAATAGTTACTATTTTTCAATTGCTTCAAATTGGCCTTCGTCAATTTAAGACAACATTCCGATCTCTACACTTTATTTCCAAGAAACCTAATACACATTATTCACAAAACTTCATTAACGAATCACTTTAATTGACTACTATCCTGTAAATAATAACACTACACATTTTATTATACAACATGTGGCCCCATATATGTTAGAATTTTCCAACGGAAAACCATAATTAAAAATAAGTTGTGCTACTTAATAGATGATTGGAGGTAAGAATATGGTGAAAAAAGGGGGAATACATGTGACAAATTGACAATGAATAAGGATTACGGACGTTTAATAGTATACTATTTAGCATTTGCTTGGTGGGGATTAAAATCAGGTAAATTTTGATGAAAGTTAATTAAACGTGTTGTTGAAATGTTGTAAAACACGTGAAATATGTGGTTAAATTTGATTGTTAATTTTGATTCAGATTTTTGTCAATACGAAACATGAGCTTAATATACTAGACTTTGTGAAATCTCATATTTACCCTTCTCTTTCAACATAATCTAATATTTCATTACACTTTTCTGATTCCCATTTGGAATGGCAAAGAGAATCAATTGAATAATCTCAGGATTTGAAATGTTATTATTCACTTCGTAGCGATGCCATGAACAAGCTAAAATCCAAGAAGAAAACTAAAAGAAATAAAGCAGATTACTTGTTAAAATAGAAAGAAATCAAAAATATTACACATAACAAAGCACCACCTACTTCTCAGATATAAGGAAATCACTTTCACAAGCTTTCCATCACATTTCTTGTGTTCGGGTAAAAACAACATATCCAGAGAAACAAACATAGACAGCCTAAAATTATCATAACCTTGTCGTTGCTAATTGATGATAGTAGAGCTGTAAGCAAAAACCGTCAAACCGGAAAATCGAATCGAAATCGCAATTTCAAAACCGGCGGTTTGATGTCACGTGGACCCGTCAACGAAATGATTTTGAACCAAACCAAACCGGTCAAAAACGATTTGGTTTAGGTTTGAGAATTTTAAGTACAGGTTAAAACCAACCGGACCGGCGAAAAAATATAAAAAATAAAAAAATTAATTTTTTTTGAAAATTTATCCAAAATTCCAATTTTGTAAATTCAATAATTTTGTTATTTTATTGGTATTTTTGTCAATTTCTAATTTCTTATTAGTTATTACAATTTACGATCTGCCCAAATCCCAACCC